GCTGCATAGGTTAGTCTTGGCAGCAACACCGTCCTATACAGCCAAAGGGCAGCCCTGGGTTGAAGCCCCCAGTTTCTACCCATTACTCTTCTACAAGCCCACATGGTGGTATAGAACGTTCTTTTCTTCTCCTCGAGGTTTGGCAGCCAGCTCAGTTTAGCATCCAGGAACACTCCAAGATACTTCACCGAGCTTGTGTAAGTTATTTCCCTGCCCCAGAGCTTTAGTGGCTCTATGTGTTCGGGTTTGTATTTCCTGGTGAAGACCACTGCCGAGGTCTTAGATGGATTGACCGACAGTCCCTTCTTTCTGCACCAGGTTTGAACTATCCTCAAGGCTGCGTCCATCCTCTCCTTGAGGATCGATATGAAATTTCCTCTGGCAATGATGGCAACGTCATGCGCGTAGCCATATACCAGGAATCCTGCTTCTTTTAATTCAGCCAGAAGGTCATCGACCACTAGACACCACAGCAGGGGAGAGATTACGCCCCCCTGCGGGCAGCCCCCAGCCGGACTCCCCCCAACTGAATTTTCACCCAGGCTTATGGTTAGACTTCTGCCCGTTAGCATGCTTTGTATCCAGTCCACGATCGCCTCCGGGATCTTGTTTCTGTACATTGCTTCTTTGATAGACTTGTTAGAGGTGCTATCAAAAGCTCCTTCTATGTCTATAAAGACTCCTATGGCGTATCCCTTGGCTTTCAGCTGTCCCTCCACTCCGCTCACAAGGTGATGTAGGGCAGTTTCGGTCGACCTGCCCTCCCTATAAGCGTATTGAGTTGTGGTCAGTGGGCAAGAGACCAAGGGTCCTGTCTTCAGGTATCTGTCTACCAGCCTCTCCACTGTTTTCAAAATGAATGATGTAAGGCTGATCGGCCTGTAATCCTTGGCCAAAATATGACCGTTTCTGCCTGGTTTAGGGATAAAGACTACCCTCGTCTCCCTCCAGGTTTGTGGTACATATCTCAGGGCTATACTAGCCCTGAGTACTTTTGTTAGTGGACCCGTCAGCACCTCCAGCCCCCCCCCCCTCAGGAGTGCCGGGTAAATGCCGTCCGGTCCCGGTACCTTATAAGGCTCAAAGGTTTCTATTGCCCATTTGACCCGGGCTCGGTTGTACGATTCTGGCCGCGAGGGACCATTCTTTGGTCATACGAGGTTCTCTTGATTGATCCTCGTCTCTGTTGCCCCGAATCGTGACATCCTCTCTGAATCCCGGAAAGTGAGTGGACATCAAGTGTCTCAGTGTTTCCTCCATTGATTCAGTGTATCTTCCATCCGGGAGCTTAAGACATCCCAGCTGTGGTGAATTGTCTTTGCTGAGGATTTTGTTGAGTCGGGATATCTCCGGAGAACTTTCAACGTTCCCGCAGAACTCCCTCCAGCTCCTCCTCTTTGACATTGTGGTTTCTTTGCTATAGCGTCGTTGGGAGCTCCTGAAAACTGCCCAATCAGTTTCCGCTTTTGACTTTCCTGCTCTATTGAAAAGCCTTCTTGTCTCAACCCTGAGCTTAATAAGCTCATTATTCCACCATGGGACCTTGGTTGAGACTTGTTTCTGCCTTAGTGGGCAGTTGACTTCATAGGCCTCTATGATAGCGTCGCTGACAAACTGCGACTCCACTTCTAGATCCTGTTTTGTATTAAATCTGGACGGGGCTTTCTTCAGAATGGTGCCAAGGTCCTTCCTGTAGCTCGTCCAGTTTGTGCTTCTGGGGTTGCGACCCCATTTCACCTTTTCCCTGTGCTCGAGCGCAAAACGTAGCTGCCTGTGATCCGATCCCGAAGGTTTGTTTGAGACCTTCCAGTCTCTCACCAGATCAGCCATTCCCCCCGTACACAGGGTTAGGTCTATAACCTCACGTCTTCTACAGTCCATGAAGGGGGTTCCGTTCCTCTGTTTAGGATGATTAGCTTACTGTCCATTCGAATTCATGTAGGCTTTCCCCTCTCGGGTTGATGCCCGTGCTCCCCCATCCCACATGGTGAGAGTTTGCATCGCAACCCAGGAGTACCTCCAGCCCTCTCTTCTCCGCATATTTCATCAGCTCCTTGACTTCCCTTTGTGGTGGAAGGTCTTTAGCGTCATAGGGCATGTAGACCGACCCCATCAATACATCCCTGTGGGTCCCTTCGTTTAGATTAAGCCTCACGTGTACCACCGTGATGTCCTCATTACTGAACTGCGGCACAAAGATTGCATTTAGATCTTTTGTCACTATACATGTCCTTATTTTTCCCTAAGCGGTGGACGAGATAATCTTGCCACTACCGCCCAGGCCTTTTATAGCGTTGTTCAAGAGCTATGGTTCTTGCACAAGTGCTATTGCTGTCTGCATCACAGCCATGCCCCTAGCTAAAATCGCTGAGGCGCCTTGCTGTGATGCAAGTTAATCTGCACCACTGGAACTTTGAGACCTGTCATTTCTATGCAGACTCTTTCGTTCCAGCGGCTTCCTCCTCCCTTCCGCGTTTCCAGTCAACCTTACAGTTGCCCGGCCCATCCCGCAGAAGGGTTTCATTCCGCAGTCCTTTAGGGCCTTCAGAGAGGAGTCGCCGACAAGAACAGCGAAGTGGGCGCTTTCGGCGTCCCTGCTCTCACTCCCCCTAACGACAACCCATTCGCTGGCTGCCAGTCCTGCGTTTTGTCTGTCAAGGAGTTCTAACGCCTCCTTGACAGCCAAATCCGGCTCCTCTAGGTGTACTACCAGCCTGTGGCGCTTCGGAAGCTCCCCAAGCGGCAGCACACGTAGCTCATTCTCCCCTAGTTTTAACTCCGAGGATAGGCTTTTCAGCCAGTCCGCGGATTCTACATCGGCGCAACCGCAAATGATTGCCCCGTCTCTCTCCCAAACTCCGGTAAA